TTTTTTTTTTTTTTTTTAGAATTTCAGAATCTTGGTGTATTTGATTTTGACTTTTTAAAACAATTTAGAGTTTTGAGGTATTCATTTGCTATTAAAAAGTCTTAAAAAGTTTTGAGGTATCCAATTTATTCACTTTCTGGATTTATGATTTGTCTGGACTTAAGATTTCAAGGCATTTTGATATATTAAAAGTAAGGTATTAGTTGGAGATATGAAAAGGTCTTAAAAAGCCATGAGGTATCCAATTTATTACTCACTTTTCTTTTTTATGATTTGTCTGGATACGAAAACTATCACCCAATCTCACCTCTAGAAATTTCCCAGGATTTCAGTAAAATAAGAAACTAAGATAATTCTTAAAAGTCTCGGATTTGATAGTCTTAGAATGTCACTCTAGAATTTTCCCAGGATTTCAGTACAATAAGAAACTAAGATAATTCTTAAAGTCTCGGATTTGATAGTCTTAGAATGTCACTCAAAGTATCAAATGAATCACTCCTTAAAAGTCTCGGTTTTTATTCTTAACAAGTCTTGGATTTTTATTTTTTTGATCTTCCGTAACTTTTTATCCCTTTGTACTATAATTAGTAGCAATGCCTATTGATTGTATGGTAAAATTAAGGTAGCACTTATGTTACATTTTATAACATTTAGTAAACACTTCTTTTGCATCTCAGTAGAACTGTCTAGTATCTATTTAAGTTTCATCTAAACAAGTTTTTGTTCTTATTCTTCTCTCTTTCGTTTATCTATTTTTTTTTCCCTTACGTCTAGTTCGGTACTGAGGTTGCAATTTCATGCTGCAGATTTATGACTTTGACCGAGACTATAAGGATGTAGGTGTAGCTAAGTTCACTACAAAGTACTTTGTTGTGAGAAATTGTCTTCCGAATGCTAAGTCTGACATGCTCTTATCTGCATGGAATCCTCCTTCTGAATGGGGAAAGTATGTATTATCTCTATTGTCAATATCTTCATTCTCCTTTTTGATCATTGACCTGTTTTCCGTTCCATATCATGTTCTTCAGTCGCACCACAATTTTTCTTTTCTGTTTATTATTTTTATATGTTATTATTGATAAAATATTTGAGTTCCATACACAGTTAGGCTTCTTCTGCGTCAAAGCTTGAGCTATAACTCAGTCCCATTGCAGCAAATGACGAATTGGTGATTAGTTTATTGTTATGTTGGACCATCGCATATTTACCCATTGCAGTTGGATATACATTCATTTTGGATTTTTTTTTTCTCTTTCTAGTATAAATATGGGAGAGTTAAGTTATTGGATGGGAGATGACATAACAAGAAATGATATTATATGATAATAGTATGATAAAGATTATATTTGAATGGTAATTCTATGATTTGATAAATAAAGTATTTCAAAATAACACTTTTAGGAAATGTGTAGTAATGATTAGTGATGTTATAATTTCTTTTATTCTACCTTAAAAGAGTAGAGGCGATTAGTTGGAGGGAATACGTGTATTGAGTGAATAGTATACATCTTAAGGTGTTCCATAAACAATCTCATTTGCCATTAAAATTCCTCCGGTGGAATTAAAGTTAAATGTTATCATAACTTTAAATTGATTTGGGAGAAATAACAATCTGCTTTCTAAAAAAATGTGTTTGAGCTAAGCACAGGTTGCGCCCGATTCGACATTTAAGTATTTAACTTGTTCTGATTTGTATAAATGTAGTTACTGATTATAATAACTTATTTATTTGTAGCATAAATATCACATATTGTGGGCATGGGTTTCTTAACTACACGTATTCATAATTTATAGTTGATGTGATGATAATAGTCATGTCACATGTGAACCACATGTTTCCATTTTTCATCATCTTGTCAATGTTTGAAATTGTTTATTTGCAAGTTATTGCCTTTTTCTTTTTATTTTTTTTTGGGTAATTTACTCGAGAAACTCTTCTCTTGAGGGCAACAGATAATAAATAGTTTGAGGTTCAAACTAAGTGCAATCTCTTATCTATCATTGGACCTATGTCCAACATCAGACACAGGCTGGCAATTTGGACCAACTTAATGTTTAGCATGATCCATGTGTTTAGTATCTAATCAGATGCATAATCATTTTTCATGTTATCTTTCCTTTCTGATGGATCAAAATCAAGATATGCAGCTATTTTCCTAGTCCAATCTTTCCTATCTTTTCTTCTCTGGATGCAGAAAAGTGATGCTCCGTGTAGATGCAAAACAGGGATTCTCAAAGGATGGAAATTCTCCTCTTGAATTGTTCCAGGTCAATAGTTTTTCATGTATTCCTCATATTTGTGCATAACCAATTATTCGGTGTTGTTTTCATTCCTTTTCAGTATCCAGTTTTTTCTGACCTAATATATTTCTCTCTGTCTACCCCGGTACAAAAAGTAAAGCCAACTGCATTAACATGCTGAGATTCTAATTTAAGTATCTTATAAGTTCGATTATATGCGTTAAGGTGCTTTCTGTAGCTGGATTATCTTTGCATGTTCCTTACTAATGAGTCTTCGTAATCCATACTTTTCCAAATAAGGATAGTTTCGACTGTAATCGCATGATAAACTGTCTTACTGTTTAGGTGGAGATCTACCCTTTGAAAATACATTTGACTGAGAGCTTGTACCGAGTGATGTGGCAGTATCTCTTTCCAGAAGAAGAACAAGACTCCCAAAGGCGACAGGTTAGTCCAATCGTTCTCTAAAACTTTTAACCAGATTATTGTTGAGGCAAACCTTTATATAAATACATATATTTGCATGTGATGTATAGCAAGTATGGAAAGGCTCGACTACAGCAGGTTTAAAGCGTGCGAAGAAAGGAACATCAGTTAGCGATGCTTCCACATCTGGCAATCATTCTACAAAAGATGCTGAAACATCAAAATCAAGTACCTTCAATTTTGCAGCTTCATCTGCAACTAACCAATCTGGCATTACTGATGATTCTTCCCAAGTGAGTAAAACGTCTAATACTAATGCTGCATTTATTTTACTTTTGGAAGCTTATAGATATCAGGGATGTGTGTCATGCAAGGACAAGTGGATTAATTTTCCCTGAATAAACGCTCAAGTTACCTTTGAACCAACTTTGTTGACAAACAAGTCTAAAATCAATCAATTCGTATATCTTAAATGGAGAAATTATGATTGCCTCTTCACTCCTTGCGCTGAACTCGAGTCACATGACCAAAAATGAGCCTAAACATTAGGTGTTGCTTGTTAGGGATCTTTCCTTTAATTCTCTGTAACTTGGTCTGTCAGCTTCCGTGAAAGGAAAGATACGGAATTGTTGCATTAGAGAGAAGCAGAGTTTGAAAGACATTATTTGAGGGGGAGAGGGGGAGAGAGGGAGAGGGAGAGAGAGAGAGAGAGAGACAGAGAGTAATGCTTGGCCTGTCGAGCATAAGATTTTTATGGAGCAAACAGAAGATGATGTTTCAGTAATAGAATCAGGAACAATGGATTAGAGGTTGATTTTTTTCTCTAGAGAAAAATATTGTTCAGAAGAGACTGCCTTCCCACATTTTGACTAGAGTATCTTGGAAATATTGTGTTGTACCTTCTTTCTTAATTAGTTTAGAGAAGTGATTGGAGAGGAGCAGATATATTTCAAAACGACAAGTGTTCAACTTCAGGTTGTAAACCCTTATCACCCTTCCAAACGGTAAAAGAAGCCACTTGATCTATGTTATATGGTGCAACTAACTGGACGGTCCGGACCTGGAATGTTAGGCTGTGATTTCTTCTCCGTGATTTCCATTGACATAAAAAGAATTTTAGGCAGTGTGCTTTTCTGTTTTGAGTAGTATGTTCTAAGGTGAAACCAACCCGACCTGGAACATCGAGGTAAAATGGATCTGTACCCATGTTACTAAAAGTTTAGTTTGATCAATCCCTTGTATCATAGATAGTAACTGATGAATTAATTTTGTTAAAGCAAAATGAAGTTGTTAACTGTGCTCTAAATTTATCTTATGCAGGCATCAAAATTTCAAAATTCAAAAGCAACAAAACCCGAGCTCAGGAGAACATCTTCCTTTGACAGAACATGGGAAGAGAATGTGGCAGAATCTGTGGCTAATGAACTTGTACTGCAACTGCACTCTTCATCAAAACATGGTTCTGCTCTTACCCTTGAACAGCAAGATGAGGCCACTAAGACTAAATTAAAAGACGTAAAACTAAAACCTGGCCGTTCGTCACACGAGGAGAAGAAATCGGGAAAAATTCCAGACGAGAAAAGATCTCAACCTCGAAAGTTGAGGGAGTTTCACAATATCAAGATCAGTCAGGTATGTATGTCCTTGGAACAACATTTCTAGAACCTACCTTCTTTCTCTCCGAATTTCTCTCTCATTCACATTTCATTTTGTGCATCCATTGGAGTAGGTTGAGCTGCTGGTTACGTACGAAGGATCAAGATTTGCCGTGAGCGACCTGAGGTTGTTGATGGACACATTCCACAGAACTGAGTTTGTTGGTACTTGGAGGAGGTTGTTCTCTCGTGTCAAGAAGCATATTATATGGGGAGTGCTGAAATCCGTCACGGGCATGCAGGCAACTCTCTCTCTCTCTCTCTCTCTCTCTCTCACACACACACACACACACACACACACACACACACACGCATTCACACACACTCACACACAGATCTCGTGTCTCGTAGACAGGTCTTGCACATACTGTTGTACCTTCATATCCCAACAGCTTTGCGCAATAGTTCTCTTTCTCCCTCTCTCTCTCTCTTCTCACACACACACACACACACACACACACACACAAAAATACACACACAGACACGCATGCGCACACACTCGCACAGGGATCTCGTGTCTCGTAGTCAGATCTTGCACATACTGTTGCACCTTCATATCCCAACAGCTTTTCGCAATAATTCTCTCTCAGATGCGCACACACACACACACGCTTATACAGATGTCTTAACGACATGCGTTTCATTGAACGGCCTTTGCACATACTTCTGTACTTACACATCCTGACCGCTTTAGCGATAGAAACTCTCTCGGAAACGTCAACACTCTCACTCATATAGATATATGATATATCACTCTTGGAAATACACACTCATAGATGTCTCTCTTGCTCTCCACAGGGAAAAAAATTCAAGGATAAATCGCACTCTGCCGCAGTGGCGGTCCCCGAGAGCGACCTCAATCTGAGCGACAGTGATGGGGGCTCGGCCGAGCGGGGTGATCAGCAGATCCCAATTGCGTGGCCAAAGCGCCCTGCCGATGGAGCTGGGGATGGCTTCGTGACGTCCATAAGGGGACTCTTCAACTCCCAGCGGCGCAAGGCAAAGGCCTTTGTTCTGCGCACAATGAGGGGAGAGGCCGAAAACGAGCTGCACGGCGGAGACTGGAGCGAGAGCGATGCTGAGTTTTCGCCGTTTGCGAGGCAGCTCACCATAACCAAGGCCAAGAGGCTCATCAGGCGCCACACCAAGAAGTTCCGCTCCAGGGGACATAAAGGTTTGTGCATGATTTCTAGTTTTTTTTTTTTATTATTATTAAAGAAAAAAAAATAATGTGGTCATCATGTTTTGGATGGTGTAGGGTTATATAGTGGATATTGTTCCTCGTTTACTTAAATTGATTGAATTGGACAGTTTAATCCCATCAACTTTACACGTCAGCTTCTCCAATGTTTACAAAACATGATACATTTTAAGGCAAAAACAATAAAGCGTTTACTAGGGGTAAAGGCAAGATATGAGGTGGCAGCAAAATGTATTTATATGGCTTAAATCTGTAATTTGGTGGACTTCTATGGGTAAAGCCGTAAAGGTTTCCCATGCCAATTTTTGGACAAAATGGTCATTTCTAAGGTGGGATTGACAAAATAATCCTGCCAATCGTGCATAAAAGTGTGGGACCCACAGGAGACATTAGCTTATTATCCAATCCCATCATGGTTAGTAAGCGTTGGGTAATAGGAGTTATCCAACCATATCCTATCAGCTTAAGTAAACGAGGCCTTTGTTATTTGTGCGGGATTAACACTCCCCCTCCCAAAAAAATGCTAGAAAATACATGGATTAGCATTTCATTCACTTTTTTTTTTTTTCATTTGTTTATGCTGCTGAAATCATGTGTTGGATGGTGTGGGCCCCATTTTTTTTTTTTTT